AGAGAGAGAGAGAGAGAGAGAGAGAGAGAGAGGTTCAAATGTGGATCAATATTGGCCATATTCAGCTGATTATGCTGCTGAAGAACTCAAAGAGTTCCTGCAAGTTGTCAGTCTGTAAGTCTTCTTCTTCTTCCTCTCCATCTTATCAGTCTTCTTCTTCTTCTTCTTCTCGTCAGTCTTCTTCATTTTTTATCAGTCTTGTTCTTCTTCAGAATGAAAGGGTCGATAACATGCATGCAGCAGACATCAGAGCAGCAGGCAACAAACATGCAGACCCACCAACCCAGTACATATCAGATGACATACATTCAGCACACAGCAGGCAACATACATGCAGACACCCCCCCAACCACAGCACCCCCCACCCAGATCAACCCCCCAAAATCTGGGCGTTTTTTTGGCCCAACCGGCCGGGCGGCATCCTCACTCAGTTTTTATTATTATTATTTTATTTTTTTTGGGAGGGGGGACGGGGGGGCGAATGACAGGAAGATGGGGATATGGCGAGGAGAGGGGGGTATGGAGAGGAGGAGGAGGATGTGAACGAGGAGGACGACGAGGAGGAAGAGTCGAGATGGGGGAGGAGAAGAGATGGACGGAAGGAAAAGAGGAAGGGCAGGAGGAGGAGGACGAACAGGAGGAGGACGAGTCGGAGGAGACAAAAAGCAGAAGGGAGGAGGAGACATGGAGGATGAGGAAGGGAAGGAGGAGCAAGGCGAGGCAGCAATCCTGTAAATTTTTTTTTCATCCTGCTTATAATTTTGGCGGGAGGCCTCAAACGCACTGTTTCGACCCCGGCCTTCTTTTTTTTTTGTCTAAGGGGGATGACGGGTCGTTCCCCGCACACGTCGTGCGCCGCACAGGATCTGTTGGGCGCGTGCACCGCACGTAGGGAACCGCCCGCACGATGTGCGCTTGCAAGTATGGATACGGGTCTCTGTCCCCAAACACCTGAACAGTTTGTTTGCTTTGTCCAGATGGTCCGCCAAACACGATGCTGCTTGCAAGTTGAAGTGTTCCTTCTCCGGCCCTGTCAGCAAAGGAGGCCTTAGCCCGATAGACCCAGCAACGGAATACAAGTCTCTACAAGCGAAATGGATACTCAGACTCATCCTAAAACTAGAACTTACCTTGGCACGACATGGCAATGCACCGGATTAGGAACGTCTTACCCTTCAAAGCACATGAGAGTATAGATGGGTACATGTGGATTATGAACAAGCACTGGACACATAGAAAAGAAGGAACAAGACTCAGACCGGGAGGGATACACCCAGTGGAAGAACCACCAAGTAGACACTGGACCAACCTAATTTTGTCCTGGAGAGAAGCGTCTCTACAAAGGAGGAGGGGCCCGAACTCAAACGAAGAAGTGTTAAGACAACCCCTGTTTGGGAATGAACATTTGATAGACAAAGAAGGGCAAGCATGGACCCTAACGGGAAAGGAGAAAAGATGGCGAAGATGGGTAGAAAATGGTATATGGAAAAAAGAGCACGTATGGGACGAGGAAACCAGAGAATGGAGATCAGAGAATGATCTAAGGATAGCACTAAAGGGTCATCATAATCTCAAGAAGAATTTGGAGGATCTAATAGACAGTATCCCTATAGCATGGAGATCATTACTGAGAAAGAATAGAACATGGAAAAAAAGAGACTCGGCAACGTTGAGAATCCAAGACAATCCATCAGTGGGCCTCCGGTTCAAATCAAGACCAAAAGACAGATCCAAACCTAGCAACCTTTGGAGTACACGAACTAGAGATAATTGGCAAAGCCATCATAATGATAAGAGAAGAAGAACTAGAGAGCTTGGAATTCAATACCAATGACCTGAGAAAGGTAAGAGAACCAAAAAAATGATCAGAAGAGAGCAGGAAAACGAGGAAGAAGAAATAAAGAAACGATACGGTTATTTAGACCCAAAATATGGAAGGCCCTACACAAATACACTGTGAAAACACGCTACAAATCTAGGAACAAAGGCAACAATCCTAGACCAGGTTATTATGGAGAGATGGGAAAAGCACCTGCACAGAGACCCCAACTGGCTGCAAACCATTCCATGGTCACATTACGCATCAATCAGACCACAAAGAGTAAGAAGCTTGCAATGGCTAATAATGTGCCTAGCAGTTGCAGTTAACGCATGGCTCGACAAGCGTCGTAAGGAGGAGGATAGAACAAAATCTTCCTCTCATTGCAAAATGTGTACGGAAAACCAACCAGGAACCATAACCCACTGTTTAATAGATTGCCGGTACGCACAAGCCCTTTGGGCCAAATCTGCAAAAGTTTGGCACCATCTTTCAGAAGGGGAATTTCTGAAGGATCACTTCTTCCTCCTCACAGCAATCGACAGGGATGACATAGTCGCAGACGAAAATAAACAGGTACTAGAACTGCTTAGGAAGACAACTCTGTGGGTCATTTGGAGAGTCAAACCCCTCCCCAACCCCCTACTGGAAGCCAACCCTGAAGGCTTGGTGACGGCTCATGCCGAGTAAGCATGGCGCCCCCAACAGCAAGGAAGAAGTGCTCAGGCAGCCACTATTGTGCAACCCCTGGGTCACAGACACAGAAGGCAACCCTTGGACTCTGCACCCCAAAGACCGAAGGTGGCTGTCGTGGCTAGAAAAAGTTGTCTGGCAGGTCAAACACTTATGGTCAGAGGAACTAAAAGACTGGGTGGCAGAACAAGATATGCGAATCCCCCTGAAGGGATGCCACTCCTTGGAGACCAACCTCTCTATGCTACGGCAGAGCATCATGGATAACCCTACTAAAAGAAGAGTTCACTTGGAAGCCTGGAGATTGGGGCCTACTCATCATTGAGACCCAGCCAAAGAGAGCGTATTGGTTCATTAGTCATCTTACAGGATCGAGCCACAGGGCCAAGTTCGTCTCGTACCCGATTGACAGCCAGAATCCCCTGGAACCAACAATCCTAAACTCGGACCCGCAGAACGAGACCTTAGAAACTTTCACACTCAGGAAGGTCAGGGTGGCTGATCTTCCGACCTGACCTCAGCATCAAGGATCTGGAATTCGACCCCAAGGAATGGAGCTGGAGAGAAGATGAAACGAGTAAAACAAGATCTATATATGAGTACGATGTTAAATTCGGGTACGATCTCGGACTGCAAACCGTAGACCCCAATCCCAGACTACTGGAGAGATGGAAGAAGATACTGGATCTCAACCCCACAGCCTCGTTCACTATCCCATGGGCGAAATACCTCCCCATAAGACCGGTGCGAATCCGCAGCATGCAATGGCTCATAGCCCACGCGGCCCTACCTGTAAACCAATGGCTTCATAAAAGGAGACAACTCTCAGACCCGAGCAGTTCTGAACTATGTCTGATGTGCAATACTAACACACCAGAAGACATTCCACATTGCCTTCTCTTCTGCCCCGAAGCAGCCTGGATATGGAACAAAATCCGAACCCTATGGCTCACCCTCTTCGCCTCACCCCCCCCACCACTACCCCCCTCACCATTCTACTACTCCTCAACAATCCCCCGGAGCTCAAGGGCAGCAAGGAGGTCAGGTTCAGGCTACTCAGAAAGCTGGCACTATGGGTCATATGGAAACGCAGATGCACGCAGACAATCGAGAAGACAGAAGGTGCAAGAGAGGAAATGTGGGCCATGCTGCTCAGGATGGTGGAGACGAAAATCTGGAGCAACTGGCGCATGATAATCTCCTCTACAAAGCTAAGACCAGAGAGACAACCGATCAAGAGACGGACATTCCTGAGGGAGTGGTTGATAAAGGGCAAGATCGCCACCATAGCAGACAACAGGCTGGTATGGAGGAAGTGGTATCAATCAGATACGTCGGGACATCAAAAGGCAGATCATGCACCATCTACTCAGGAAGCCGGCTCTATGGGTAATCTGGAAGAGGAGAGGTACCAAGACGATCAAAGGAAATGAGGTGCCAAGAGAGAGACGGGTGTTCATTAGAGACTGGCTCCAACAGGGAAGGATTGCCAATGTGGCAGATAGCAGACTGGTTTGGAAGAAATGGCACAGCACAAGGGCAGGGACCCAGTGAAAGGCAAACTAAGATTATAATCTCAACAGTATAGACAACTCTCCTCTTTTCTTGCTTCATACGAATTATCTGACAGAGTCACAATAGACGCTGCGAGGAAAAGTGGAAGGGCAAGCTGACAGTCAATCCTCCTGATAGGGAGCAATCAATGCTGGTCAGGGTTCCTTCGGCCAGACGGAAGGAAGCGTGAGAGTGTTTCACCATGTATAATGATGTATTCCATTTTTGACTTGCCGGTGGAAAGGAACCGGACTGACGCTCCCCGTTAGCCGCTTGTGCAGAATGGATATGGAGCCAGGACCATACGGACCTGATTTAAAAAAAAAAAAAAAAAAACAAACAAACAAACAAACAAACAAACAAACAAACAAACAAACAAACAAACAAACAAACACCTGTCTTTGTTGTTGACTTCCTGCACCTTTCAGACCTGTGGTCTAGAAGCTGCCTTAGGGTCTCCATGGAGAAGAAGGACTGAGGTAGTCATACACAGGATCAGGGCATGTAATAGACAAAGGAAGGTAGAGCCCCATGTATCACCCCAAAGTCGTAACATGATCAAGAGGATAGACAGCTGGATCTGGATCCAGATGCACCTGGGTGGCTGGATGGGATACAGACATGCTTCAAGATTTCCAACGGTATAGCCTAGTTCATTTATTTTGTACTTGAAAAGGAAAGGAAGCAATCAAGTCAAATGCAGATGTGGGTCATTACTACTCATTACATACACCAGAGATGTGCTCTTTCATTGAGCATACCTAAAAATTAGTCCCCAAAAATTCGGTTAGTCATGCCCATAATAAATTATTAATAATAATGACAACAATTCAAAGAGATGAAAAGGAGAATTTGGAGAGAGGGGGAGAGAGAGAGAGAGAGAGAGAGAGAGAGAGAGAGAGAGAGAGAGTCACAGCCTTGAGATGACACTGACCTTGGCTTTTTTGGAGGTATCTGCCTTCGCCGTATCCTTCCCAAATAGCAGCTCATCAACCTCACTGGTTTTTGACACCTGTCACAAGGAAGCTGGAACATTAACAAGAAAAAGACAAAAGCTCAAGGACAAGACAAACTAACTAAATAACAAATATTTCCGTAAGCCTCTGGCTATCTGAACAGGAAAACCTGAAAGCCTGTCTTCTGCAGCCTTTCATTTCAAACTGTGTTGTAAACAATTATTACAAACCAGGACTGCAACTTGTCGCCATTCAGTGAGACAAACTGTGGAAGGGGGTGGAGAAGGTTCACATGCAATGAAGGTGGGGTTCTGCACACTCGTGCCCACATACCCGAAGAGGTGTGGTCTATTTGGTGCTTTTTGGATGAGAACATACATACACAGTATTACACACACACTGTGACACATAGATGTCTAAGGGAGAGAGACATGCAAAAGCCTAGTATGAATTTATGTGTGTGTGTGTGTGTGTGTGTGTGTGTGTGTGTGTG